CTTGGGCTTTGACCAATGTGAATTATAGACAATTGTATAAAAATTCACTTTTCGAGCTCAGCCGAGCCCGGCTCGTTAGCGAAACAAGCTTCAAGCGAGCTCGAGCTCAAATCGGTTTTCAAAAACCGAACCGAGTCTTAATTAGCCGAGCTCATGAACGGCTCGTTTCGTTTAACAATTCTATATACCAAGCCAGAACATCGGCTACAACCCTAACTTCACAAATCATATAAAACCAAACACTGAGCATTGTCACCATTGATACACATTCATCCAAATCCTTAAACAGGTCCAAACTCCAGCAACTTTTACCCTAACTTCACAAATCATATAAAACCAAACACTGAGCATTGTCACCATTGATACACATTCATCCAAATCCTTAAACAGATCCAAACTCCAGCAACTTTTACGGTTAAATTAAATTACACAGACAAACCCTACTAAACCCTAAAAACCTTAGAATCCTCTGGTTGAAAAACATAAGTTACCCTCCAACAACACCAGCAGAACAAATTACATTTTCAGAATACATCAGATGCCACCTGGCACGTTCATTCCTTGGAGGACTTGTTGATGAGGGACTTGTGAATGTGCGGGATTACGCCACCACCCGCAATCGTTCCCTTGATGAGAGTGTCGAGCTCCTCATCTCCACGTATCGCCAGCTGTAGATGACGTGGCGTAATACGCTTCACCTTCAAGTCCTTGCTGGCATTTCCGGCCAGCTCAAGAACCTCAGCCGTGAGGTATTCCAGGATGGCAGCTGAGTACACGGCGGCTGTGGCCCCGACACGACCATGAGCCATCACTCGCTCCTTGAGGAGCCGGTGGATACGTCCCACTGGAAACTACAGGAAAAAAAAAGTAAATAAACAGTAGAGTTTGATGAATTATGCATAATTATCCTGAATATTGAATAAATTCCTCAAAGAAGAAGAGAGAAATCCACAGTCTAAGGGTAAAGCAGAATAAGATGACATTTTGCACAAATCATTTGAGATAACCAACCGTGATTTGAATCTAGCTTGCACGAATGGTTTTCATCTAGTTTGTTGCTGATAAATACAAGGTACCATCATCTATCTCAGGTTTTTGGGGGGAGTTAAAAGTAACAGCATAAAAGAAATCTTGCATCAATAATACAAATATGACCGTGACAAGTGATTTTGAAACTAGCTTGTTAGAATCTCACTAAGCTCAATATATGTTTAAGAAATAATGCACCAACTAATGTTTCAAACTTCAATCAAAGCATCTGTCACAACGAGTAATGTTGAATTGTTTCCATGTACGCATCGTCATTTCACAATATATATGATGAAACTACTCGTTTTTTCTCTTAGCTCAAGTGGGCTTATTCTACTAACAAAGAACACTCATCTAACAATGCACTTGAACAAAAAATAAGACAACAAGGTTTCAATAGTCACATCTAGCACTCTATTCATCAGCTTTAATTTTAATGGTTTAGCTAATCAAAGTCACTGCTCAATTGAATGAATAGATGAATAAATTACTGGCCAAACACGAGTGTTGTGCTCTCTTATGCTTTAGTTTTAGCTATCAATACAACAACAAATAACAACATAGCCTCTTAGTCCCACGAAAAAACCACCACACTTCAGCTCCAACAATCTAATCTAACATTGAATATAATGCAAATCCATCTTATGCTTCAGTTTCAGCTATCAATAACACCAAGAAAAAACCCACAACACTTCAGCTCCACAACACTGAATATAATGCAAATCGATCAATTCTCAAGTCTAGACTGTGTTACTCGAACACCAACAATTTCACCAAACCACTTCAAAAACCCCAAACATCGAGATGAATCACGACCGACAACATGCAGAGATGGTCACCGGAATTACTCGCAGCACCGTGGGTCAACCGAAAAATTACGAACGACAGAGCAATTCCGATCCAAAATGAAACTAAATTCCAATAAAAAGAAACGCAGAGGTACACAAGAGGACTCCCCATAAACTTCTAAGCCGACCCAACAAAACCCCACAAGAAAATTTGTAAATCCGAAAACAAAAACAGTACGAAAAGCGAAAAAAAGTAAATAAATTGAACGATCGATGAAATTAACCGGAAAAAAAAGGAAGAAACCTGAAGACCGGCGCGTGAGGAGCGAGAGGTCGGTTTTTTCTTGCTGTCCTTGTCTTTGTCCTTGGATGCTGCTGGGGTTTTCCCCGTCAACAAGCCCTTTGCACCTTTGCCCGACATTCGCCTTCCTCGCACAGATCCACGCGCGCTCTGAAGCTGAGCTCAATTTTACAGAACAAATTTGAAGTGAAAATGAGAGAGATGAAAAAAATAGAAGATAATCCGGCTAATGTTTGGATTGCGATTATAGGAAAATGTTTCAAGGGAGAGTTTTAAAAATTACACTTTGAACCCCCGAGTATGGAATAATTTCACTATTACTATTACTTTGAAATTTGAATCCGGCTAATTTTTCACTTTTCGATGGGTTATTATCAACCGGTCCGATCCCGGTGTTGAACTGGTTCAATGTTTTACTGGTCGGATTAGTTGTTGAACCGATTGAATCGGTATTTAATATATTAATACTTTAAAAAAAATAATATTATATATATATATATTTAATTTTATATATATAAATATAATTAAATAAATATTTAGATCATTTAAAATATGTAAATATGTAAACATGTTCATAAATATTTTATAAATATTCATTATACTTATATTCAATTTCAGCTCTCTTAATGACGGTTTTTGTACAATCCGAGTTTTATTGAAGGACCAGACCGATAAGAAGTCTGGTTCCCGGCCGAATCGGTCGGTTTGGTTAAATTTTTAGAACCATAGTTCTAATACAACAAATATTATCGAATATTTTTTATTCAAATTCACAAAATTGACTAGATTTTAAAATTTAACTCAAAATCTAATTTAATTATAATTTAAATTAACTTTCCTTAATATTATGAATAAATTTAAATAATATCAGTTTATTATTAATACATAATTTCTTACAAAATTCACTATTCATCACCTCAAACTTAAACACAAATTCAAAATTCATTTAAAACTCATTCAATCACATTTTTTCAATCTTATTTCAATATATCCCATAGTTTTTAAACCCAGTCCAGTAATCGACCCGGGCAGGTCTCCGGGTCACCGAGTCATCGGTTCAACCGCCGGATCACCAGGTCAATTGCTGAACCGGATAATAAATTTAAAATTTTATAAAATTATATATAGAGTATTTTGTGATATATAAATATACATACAAATAATAAAATTAAATATTTTGTATGTAAATTTTGTAAATTAAAGTGGTAATAATATGTATATATTTACCATATAAATATATATACATAGTTTTATTTTTTAAAAAGAAAAAGAAAATTAAAAAACAAAAAAAAAAATAAAAAATTAATATAGGGAC